TCCTTTGATCGTATGGAAGTTATTTCTTTTTTACCCGAGGGAGACGGAGCTTAAGAAGCTCGATGCAGAGTCCGTGCGGAATTTTTTACGGGGTAGTTTCTCAGGTGTAATCGAGAGGAATGAGAGCGGATGCTTGTAAACCGCAGAATGATATCTTTCAGATCGTGGTGCGAGGAAACAAAGTTTAGATTGGTCGTTCAGTGCCGGACGCATAGCTTGATTTTCGCTATAAGGAAAGTAGTTTTCGCAAAACTTGTTACGTTTATTTTCGAAAGTTGCTTCGTTATCACATGATCCTGAATGTACGAAGGATTTTTTCGCATAAGTAATGGGTGATGATTTAATTAAATCGACACGTCGCATTGGGATAACAAGGTTTCCGCAGATTTTTGAGAAACCTTTCCGCTTAGTATTTGATTTTTCAGTGATAGTTTCTTGGAGTCACTCACAGAGTTTTATCAATGGTTGTTTCACCGAGAGTAAGTCGCAAACATTTTAGCGGGTTTCTAGAGCGGAACAAATCATTTGACTAGCAATAGGATCAGTCAACGAGCAGGGAGGACTTGGTCTCTATTGCTGCTTTGTGTTCTCAATTTTTCTTTTGCCAAAAATGTTCTTGACATTATTCTGTGACTCACTTGGTTCGACGGAAAATGAGAACAATGCTTTGATGCCTAAAGATTTCTCGTATAATTTTCCAATTCTTATACAAAACTTGTTTTATCAAGTTGGAAAAGATCTTTACGACTTCGGCAAATCATCGAATTTCACTCTGAGGTTTGGCAGAGGTTTTGTAAACGCGTGACTGCGATGATAGACGCTGTATAGTCCTCGGTTTTATTTTCCATAAGGTTTTGATCAGTTCTTAGCGTTTAGACGAATCTTAGATTGTCGTTTGCTTTTGGGATGATTTTGACGAGGTATCATATTGTTAGAATATTTTTCCGCCTTGTTTTTGCGATAGTTTGCTTTATAGAAAGCATTTCTTGATGCGGAGAAAAATGTTTTTTGATTAAAGAGAGATTTTATAATATTCTAACTTTGCCTTTATTAAGAGATTACTCCCTTTGGAGTGTTATCCGATGGTACGTTCCAACTCGAACCGATTTCGGCTTTTCGTTGGTATGACTTGATTGATGAGATGGTATGGCTGTAGTATTGCGATTCACCGATGATCATATTGATCTTCCGGCAGTTAGCGTCGTTACCTTTCTCGTCTTGTTTTCTTACGAGTTTCTCGCCTTACTGGTTCTCTTGAGGCGGAGTTACTACTCGCGAGTTCCTATCGTTTTTCGGGGGGCGATTTGAATCGCGGATAAGGTCCTTTACGCTAGATATCTCAGAGAGTTCTCCCGCGAGTAATTTTGCAGCCAGTCTAGCGCCGAGAACTTATCAGTTCACAGTTGAGTGTCCGCGAGTTTTGTGAAGATCGCATATAAAAATTTTGTCGTAATTCGGATTCCTTGACCACGTGTTCCCCGTAGTTCGCCTTTGTTCCGATCCAGAATTGATAGCGTAGTTGTGCCCCCCTTGGAGATCATGTCCCTCGTGATGGACGTATTTGTCATTACGAGGGTTTTTCTTTTTCGGCTTCTGCTCGGACGCGATGTCCTTTGCTTTCGCCGGCTTATGCTTTTCAGACAGGATTTTAGTCTCCTCTTCGATGGTTACGTAATCGGTAGCTTTGTGGAGCGCGTCCTAGATCGTCCGCGGTTTCTCGAGAGTTATCCACTTTCAAAACTTCGACTTGAACCAGAGGGATTTTCTGAGCGCATCGATGGTGGCTTTGTCGCTTATTCCGCTAACCCTAACCATGATAAGTTTAAACTTGCTCTTGAAGTCGCAGAGATGTTCGTCTTCCTTCTGGGATAAGCTCTGGAAGTTCTCCGATTTATAAACATCGAGTATTTCTTCAGAAATTCAGAAGCAAGCTGGCGGAAACTCCTGATTGAATTCTGCTTAAGCTTGGCGAACCACTCGAGCGCTGCTCCTTCTAGGTTTTCGACGAAAAGATGGCAATAGCCCACGTCTTTTTCGTGATCCTTGAACTTTGCTCGTCCCATGGTAATCTAGAAGGCCTGCAGGTGCGCTTTGGGATCGGTCGTCCCGTCATAGGTTGGCACTCTGAGTTTTCCAGGATCGGGTAGCTTGACCTCGGCGATGCGAGCTGTAAAAGGCGTTCTCCGTGATTCGTATAGCAGTCGATCTATTTCGAGCGCAGAGCTGGTAGCATAGTGAATTTGAGACTTCACCGCTTTTACCTCTTCGGCCGTTCTAGTGATGTAGTCGTGGAGATCACGAATCTCCGTTAGTTCGCCAGCAGTTTTCCGATTTCGTCTGTGTTTGCTGCGAGTAACTTGAGATTGTTCCTAGTTCGTTTTTGCGCGTTGCACGCAGTGGAGCTCCTCCTCGTCCTCAATAAGAGAACGCTCGGGAGAGGATTCCGGCTGAGGGCTACGACCCTTACTTCTCCGCGGATGGACGTCTGCGTCCTCATCCGATGGATCAGATTGGAAGCTTGTTTCCAGGATAACCCTCTCGACGCCATCTTCCTCTATCTCCTATCTGCAAGTAGGAGATTTGTCCGATTCATTTAGCGCCACGTCAGGGTTATCTTTCTTGGAGTCTTGCTCCGGCAGATTTCCCTACTCGGTTATGGGGCGATCCGTAGGAGTCCCGAAATCAAGCCTTCTTCCGCGGATCCTAGTCTTTTCGCGGGGGCGAATTGCTCTGGTTCCCGCAGTTAGGGTTTCGACCTGTTTTGCGAGTGAACCAATGAGCTTTTCTTGCTCTTCCGATTTTTTGTTTAAGTTGGAGAGGATCTTTTCGATGGTCTTGGCGTTAGCGTTAGTGTTAGTGGTAGCGTTAGCTGCGGACACATCCTGTGGTGGTGTGTTGTCAACGTTGTCGCTTTCGTCGCGAGTTTTTTGGTCACCAGACATCGTTTCTCGATTGAGCGTGCTGCGGCTTGAGTGTAAGATAGATCCGACCCCCCCCCCTCCTTCTAGCGCCAAACTGTGGGAACCGAAATTCACCCCTTAGGAACTTAGGGAAAACTCTAATTTCCCAGAGGACCCGGCTATCTTCGGAACCGCACACAAGCAATCAAGAACACGATAAGAATAAAGTTGAAGTATGAAAAACGCGATTAAGAGCAAGAAGGAGTCTTATTCCGAATTTGCGTAAGAACGGTATAACAAGAGTAAGCCTTAGCTGTGTGAGCCGTCGGCGAGATTCCTAGTTCTAGAAATCGAAGACTAAAACCCTAGTTGAGACGCAGCTCGATAACAAAAACGAAAATATTCCTAAGTGATAAGTTTGGTGGTGAAAGCTCTGAAAACTCGACCCCTTGTTCTGTCCTTGGCCTTCTTCTTATAAACTCCCTCCTTAGGCGGTTTAGTCCTTCCTTTTCGCCTAGATTCGAGTTTATCGAGAGTCTTCCATTTATCTCGATCTCTCCATTTTTCTTGCAGAAATCTTCTATTTATCTTCTTTGTGCGAGTAAATCGTCAAACCGTCATCGTATCTTTGGGCTGGATTTCGTCTCGAGTCGCAAGTGGACTTTATCGCGCTTTTGGGCTGTCCGAGCCGTTTGGCAATAAAAACCGTTTTACGATTTTAGACAAGATCGTTTCCTGATGCGATGCCGTTTTTATAAGATTTCTTGAGTTAATCGTATAGTTTGGCAATGCACGATGTCTTGTCTAATCTTTGCCGTTTTATACGATATTTCCCAAACTTTACGAGAAAAGAAGACTTTTACGATTTTTATCGTAAAACTCGAACGGTAAGACGGATCGAGACGAAATGAGAGACGTTTCTTCTATGGTTCAGAGCATGATCGAATCGAAGGACGTATGCCTTACATCAAGGATGCAGGAGTTCAAGGCTTGGGACGGTCAGCTCGACGTACGGCGAGCCGAACCGGGTTGGTTCAGCTCGCCGTAGGCGAGCTGGCCCGGGACCGACCAGTTCGCCGTACAGCAAGCTGAGCCGACTGGTTTGGTCGAACCTGCTCGCGGTGTACGGTGGATGCGGTTTTTTGCGGTTTTTTGCTTAACTTGGGCAATCGTGTAATCGGCGTTTGTTTCGTTCATCCTTGGGTTCTTTCAGGGCCTCAAAGAAGGCGTGAGACTTATCGGACATCTTGGAGATGAACCTGCTTAATGCGGCCATCCGGCCCGGTAACCGTCGGACTTCATTTATGTTTCGTGGGGAAGGGATCGCCCGGATGGATCGCACCTGTTCCGGATTGGCCTCGATGCCCCTATAAGTAACTATGTATCCCATAAATTTTCTGGAGCTAACCCCGAACGAACACTTTGAGGGGTTGAGCTTCATGTTGTACTTCCTGAGAGTGATGAAGGCTTGTTGTAGATGGGAGATGTGGTATTCTGCCTCGAGGGACTTGACCAACATGTCATCTACATAGACTTCCATGTTTTGCCCGATTTGTTCGGCACACATCATGTTTACGAGTCTTTGGTATGTCGATCCCACGTTTTTCAGGCTGAAAGGCATGACTTTGTAGCAATAAATTCCCCTAGGGGTCATGAAGGAGGTCTTCTCTTGGTCGTCCGGATGCATGAGGATTCCGTTATAACCTGAGAAGCCATCCATGAAACTCTTGAGCTGGTGGCTTGCAGTGGCGTCGACGAGCTTGTCGATATGAGGTAAGTGAAAAAAGATCTTTGGGGCATGATTTGTTGAAGTGTTGAACACTATAATATAGTATGAAGTCTCACAAGAGCAGGAGACTACTCAGATCACCTGAGAACAAGTAGATGTTATTGTTTTTTTTATCACTTCATACAATTAACATCACTTCATATTATCGATATTTACATTAATATTTACTTTTCAAACGAACGCGGCACTGCTTACTTACAGTTGAACATAATATAGGTATGGGTACTATGCATATCCTATACACTGGACCCCCATATTTTTTCTTAATCTACCACTAAAACATCTCTTGTAGCAGAATTTTTTTCCTAATATGTACAGTTTTACAAGGAAAAATTTTACTAGAACATTACAAGGTGTTAACATATTGTTTACAAGAAATTTACAACAAAATTTGCTAAGTGACCACAATTAAAAAACTTTTTCACCTCTGTAGAACGAATCTTCTTTTTCCTCATACTTTCCACTTACGTTAATTAATTTTGCAAGGATTTTTTACTTCGTTTGAAACTTATTCGTATATTAATTAAAATAAACCAAAGTTCACAGTTAAAAAAAAGAACAAAATAATTAGTTGAGATAGAAATGGATAACAAAAAAATTTAGATATTAAATAGCTTAAGAAAATTTAAATAGGATATTTTTATGGAATTTTCTCATACATAATTGGCAACTTAAAAGTGTTCCAATTTACGAGTTATTTCAAAAAACAACTACGACAGTTCAACCATGACACGAACGACCAATTGTTGAGGAAAAAGAAAATAAACCAAATACTTGTGCAGAAACATTGTCCAAAAGATATCTGCAAAACTAAGAAGGAAAGTTCCCTCGACAAATGTTCCTTTTCTTCTTTGTCAATATTATTTTTCTAAAATCACGTAAGTAACCCTGCATAAACCAGTGAATCCAGAATGAGAAAAACCCAATGAACATTTAGGAAACTGATTGCATGTTGATATTAAGAAGAAATCTTACTCGACAGAGTAAATTAGATGCCGACTAGATAATGATACCCTGACACATTTAGAAATAATAATCAAACAATATTATATTTATAACACGATTATGATTTTGATGCAAGAAGATGATAAGGGCTTGGATGCTATAAAAACGACAGATATATGTTAACGCCTAACCTCAGGAGGGTTAAATTTTGCTCCAAGATTGCTGAGTTTCGCATGGGATTCAGCGTAATCGTTGAAGAAAGCATCCTGATCTGCAGCGTACTTCTCAGCATAGACCTGCAATTTCATTGCAGTTTCAGTTTTAAAGGCAAATATCGTATTGAAAGGATTCAACTATAGCTTTTTTTTTTACCTTGAAAGAAGAATCTTCAAAGATGGCAGCATCAGTGGGCAGGACAAGGAGATCTTCATCTCTCTTTTCCTTGATCTCCTGTAATAATAAAATTAAATCAATAGACATCAAAGAAGAAAAAGAAACTTCCGTTTCAAAGTGTAAAGAGTTATGTTCTGAAACGCAACTGTGAAGTAAGAATTGTCAAACTTCAACCACTCTGGTGTCCATGACTGTCCTCCTGGTGCTCCCGGTCCCTCTTTCTATAATAGTATATTGCATCAACGCATAGTGAGAGAACAAAAAGACAACTTCAGTAAACAATACGTTATGGAACAGGAGATGAAAGAATACCGTGTACTTTGTTTCTGGCTTCCCCCAACCACTACGTTCTGGCCTAGATCTTCCTAAGGTATGTGCACCAGATAATGCAACTATGTCCTGCAGTTACAAAATCATTCGAGATGACTCATTTACTTGTAGGTCCTTTCCTATACGAAAATTGAAGTGCAATTCACCTTATCATCTAAACCCATTCTGTAGAAGACTTCTCTGAGATGACTAGCGGGTGAAGGAGGACCAGCGTCTATAGAACATATGACATTGGTAAGTAATAGAAGTTTTGATATAATGATGATGTAACCAAAGAACATCAATAAATGAGAGTGCTTTTACCAGGAAGCCTTCCTTCTTCAGGACATTGATGAGGACCAGAGGTATCAACGCGTCCATATTTCATGGGTATTTTAGGTCCTCCAGCTTCCTGAATTTCAGAAAGCTCTAGTTAGTAAATATCTCCATGACAAGTAAAAGTAGGTTCGGGATTTACCTCAATAGCAGTAGCACTGGCCAGTTGGAAAAGGTCAGCGTAGGAGATCCCAGAGTACCTGTCTTTGATGTGCTGAATCAGGTTTAAAGCATTTACAAGACCTGAAAGCAACAAGAAGCATATCGTTTAACAGAAAAACAAAACTACTAAGAGGAGGTCTACTGCCATAGTATATTACCAGCATTAGCAGCATGCTTGAGCTCAATCTCGTATCTGAGACTACCATTAGCTCCACCTCTCTGAGGCCATTCCGAGATGTTCTTGTTGTAGGTGCCAGCATCATGCCATCCCAAACGGACCTATGATACAAAATGAATATAGAAATTACAAACTGTTCAAGAACAGATCAAAAACAAGAGAAAACGCACCAGAATTGGATGGCAAAATTTGGTGTTGAGGAGCTCTTTGATGTCTTCTCTAGCACTATTCAACTGTTCAGGATCCGTAGCTGATGTACAATGGGTGGTTGAAGCCGAGCTGAAGCTCCGATTCACCAACGCAGCTTGACATCTCTTCTGAAATAAAGATTAGAGGAAACTGAGATCGGATATTATATTGTAAAAGAGAAATGAAGAATTGCGAGGGTACCTGAGAGAGAAGCGGAGAAGAGACGAGAGATCTGGCGAACGAGAAAGATGACGAGGGTAAAGAGAGTTTGGATCCGGAGGAGGAGGAGAAGCAGAGGAGACGAGAAGCGGAGATTTGAGAGCAAAGAGAGGAAGCCATGGTGGTGGTGGTGTTGTTGAGTGTGAGAGACAAGCGCTCTGCCATATGATGTGATTTGGGGGGGGGGGGGGTATAATTAGGTTTAGGTTTAAGAGTGAGACTAAACGGCGATTGATACTTGCCACGCCTCGGGAGAAAATGACTGAAGGGTGTTTTGAGGTCTGTTTTATTTTTTTTCTCGTCCTTACGTATTTACCAAAGGACAAAAGTGGCACGTCCTCCTTTGCGCACCAATTACCATGTTTTTATTAAAGAGTTGTTGCACTACCTAACAATTGACTTATGCTAATTGGGTAGGTGAGATCAGAGGCGAATGCATAGATTAATGAGACGATTACAGAGGGACACTTTGTTCTCTTTTTTACAGCATAAGACACATTACACTAAAGGGACACTTCCTCCTACTCTCCTCCTATGTGTTTATACAAATATGTCTTTTTGGTGTGGTTAAGAAATAAAAGAGGTGAGTTAGTTATAATTGTATAATATTGTGTTTGTTTTATTCTAACCGAGAGAAGTGAGCGTATCGGTTGTTTCCTTAAAAAGAACACATAGGAACCATTAGATGTTAATTGATCCAATGGTCAGGGTTTGATATGTTTGAAAAGTAGGTGAGCTCATAAATGCATGAGATAACCTCGTTTTTGAAGACGACGAACTTGGTCCACTGCCGGTAAAGGAGAAAAATTCCGAGAAGTGAGTATAACCTTGATTTAGGTTTTGAAAACAGTATTTTGAAATACATTGTTCGTCGAATTTATGATATTTTGTGGTTTTTTTGAAGGAACTCACTTTGAGGATGGAGGAACAATGTTTGGTTCTAAGCGGGGAGTGGGTGTGTGGAGATGGAGGAAAATGGGATTTCATCATTGAGAAGCATCGCATGGGTCGTATGGTGCCGGTATATGAGGGCATTGGTTGTGCGGAACTGGAACTTAGTGTACTGCGTGAGTTTGGAGTGGATGAATCCCGATTTGGTGTTGGTTTGAGTTACTGGCCACCAACAACTCTAGAGCTTGCAACTGGGATTAGGACACCACCGGTGTTGATTACAAGTGATGGGACTGTGAAGTATTTCTGCAAACATTTGAAAGTGAAGGGGGGGGGGATGAACATGTTTGCTAAGTTTGCAGAGAAACCCAGAAGTGTGGAAGACGATGTTGTGGATGATTCAGGAATGGGATTTGTGTCACCAGATGCAGCAATGTTTTCGTCTGGTTCATCTAGAAGGGGGTACGTTTCATCAGCTGCTTCTAAGATCAAGGTTATAAACCTTGTGGAAGATGATGATTTACTGGGGCAAGGTGAGAAGGACGAAGGAAGTTTGATGAGAGGTGTGAGACTGAGAACAGAGAGCAGCGACGGGATAGAGAATATTGGTTCGAGTTCAGGAGGGAACGCTGAAGGAGATGTCGTTTTGGAAGAGATGGAAGTGAGGCCAAGAGGTTACGATAAAGAGTTTTGGAAGCCGTTATTAGACGGAGACTACAGAGGTTCAAATGCCGTTAATGTGGTCTTCAATGAGGATGAGATATTTGAAGGGCTAAACAAAAATTCAGGACCGAGAACGTTTGTTGAGGTTGGCGGGTCTAGCGGTGGTGATGGCAATGAAAACACACCGAAGCCGGAGGATTATAATCCTTGGATGGGAGGTGGTAGTCCGGCTCAGACTGGTGTTAACATGGGGAGTCGACCTGCGCGAGAACTAGGCGATGTTGATGACGAGGAGTTTGATATTCCTCCAATGTTTGATGATACTGAATATGATGTGTCTGAAATCTCGGACATGGATGTGGACGAACATGACGGTAAAATATCTATTGGAAAGGTTTTTGGCAGCAAGGAGGATTGTTAGATAGCTTTGGCGATTTATGCAATTAAAAAACAATTTAAGTTTAAGCAGACTCGGACGAAGGTTGATTCGTTTATTGTGGAGTGTCCCCCCAGAGGTGTGATTAAAGGGTAACGGCTCATGAGATTAGGGGGTGTGGTTACTATGAGATAAGGAAGGCTCAGCTTGATCATCTCTATCCAATAGAATACAGACAAGGTTACAAGAGTAGAGCAACATCTCGTGTCATTGCAGCCGTGTACAAAGAAAAGTTTGGGAACCCCGGGAAGTGTCATGTGCCGCATGATTTGCAGAAACTTATGTTGGAAGAGCTTCGTGTGAATGCTTCGTATATGACGTGCTATAGGGCTAAGGAGAAAGCGATACTTGGGGTGCGTGGTTCAGATGAGGACGCATATCTGAAAATCCTTGAGTATCTGCATATGCTCAAGTTAGCAAATCATGGTACAATTGCTGATCTAGACACTGATGTAGACGACGATGGAGATGAACGTTTCCTATACTTGTTCCTTGCATTTGGGGCATCAATTTGTGGATTTAGAAAGTTGAGGCATGTGTTGGTGATAGATGGTACCCATCTTAGCGGGAAGTACAAAGGAGTTCTCTTGACAGCTAGTGGGCAGGATGCTAATTTCCAGATTTTTCCTCTTGCTTTTGCAGTTGTGGACGCTAAGGACGAGGATGCGTGGACATGGTTTTTGCAAAAATTAGAGAGGATTTTAAGCGATTCCCCATCTCTTGCCATAATTTGTGATAGGGTTGTGTGTATTGCCAATTCTGTGAGTAAAATTTAACCTCAAGCCAAGCATGGAGCTTGCATAGTATATTTGGCGAGGAATGTGAATTCTAGGTTTTCAAGTAAGCACCTAGCAGAGTTGGTGACAAAGACAGCCATGGCTCACGTGCCACGTCGGATGAGGACGCGGACGTCCATCCTAGGAGAAGGAAAACTCGCAGCCCTTAGCCGGAGTCTTCTCCCGAGCATTCTCTTACTGAAGACGATGAGGAGCTCTAACTGAGATACGCAATCTCCGCGACTACATCACTAAAACGGCCGCAGCAGTAAAAGCAGTAAAGTCTCAAATTCACCATGCTACCAGCGCCGCACCCGAAATCGATCGGCTGCTATACGAATCTCGGAATACAGCTTTTACGGCTTGCATCACCGAGGACAAGCTAACTGATCCTGGAAAGCTCAAGGTGCCAACTTACAACGAGACGGTTAATCCCAAAGCGCACGTGCAGGCCTTCCAGATTACCATGGGACGAGCCAAGCTCAAGGATCACGAAAAAACGCGGGCTACTGCCGTCTTTTTGTCGAAAACCTAGAAGGAGCAGCGCTCGAGTGGTTCGCCAAACTTAGGCGGAATTTAATTTGGAGTTTCCGCCAGCTTGCTTCCAAATTCCTGAGGCAATACTCGATGTTTATAAATCGGGAAACTTCCGATGCTGATCTCTGGAGCTTATCGCAAAAGGAAGACGAATCCCTTCGCAACTTCATGAGCAGGTTCAAACTCGTCATGACTAGGGTTAGCGGGATAAGCGACAAAGCCGCCTTCGACGCGCTCAGTAAATCGCTCTGGTTCAAGTTGAAGTTCCAGAAGTGGATAACTCTCGAGAAACCGCGGACGATGCAGGACGCGCTCCACAAAGCTACCGATTACATAACCATCGAAGAGGAAACTAAAATCCTGCCTGAAAAGCATAAGCGAGCGAAAACATCTGCAAAGGACATCGCGTCCGAGCAGAAGCTGAAAAAAAAAACCCTCGTAACGACAAATACGTCCATCACGAGGGGCAGGACCTCCAAGGGGCGCACAACTACGCCATCAATTCCGGATCGGAACAAGGGGGAACTACGGGGAACACGGGGTCAAGGAATCCGAATTACGAAGAAAATTCCTTCTGCGATCTCCCACCAAACTCGCGGGCACTCTACCGTGAAATGCAAAGTTCTCGGCGCCAGACTTGCCGCAATATTGCACGCGGGAGAACTCTCCGAGATATCCAGCGTCAAGGACCTCATCCGCGATTCAGACCGCCCCCCCCGGAAAACGACAGGAACTCGCGAGTGGAAACTCTGCCTCAAGGGAAACAGTCAGGCGAGAAACATGGACAAAGACAAGACGAGAAAGGTAACGATGGTAACCGCCAAAAGATCAATATGATCATCGGCGAATCGCAGTACTACAGCGATACCATTTCATCTATCAGGTCCTACCAACAAAAAGCCAAAACTGGCTTGAATTGGAACGTACCATCGGATAACGCTCCAAAGGGGGTGATCTCTTTCGATGACGCAGAAACCGGCGGAATCGATCAACCACACGACGATCCTCTCGTCATTGACTTAGTCATAAGCGACTTAGAAGTCGCTCGAATCCTGGTCGACACTGGAAGCACCATCAACGTAATCTTCCGCAACACGTTGGCGTGCATGGGAATCGATTTATCGGAGGTCGAGCTAATACCAAAGCCGTTGACCAGTTTCTCCGGCGAAACATCTATGACCTTAGGATTGATCCGGCTTCTGGTCGCTGCGAAAGAAGTGACAAAAATCGTCAATTTCGAGTCGTCGATTCTCCAGCTATCTAAAACGTGATCATGGGCACGCCTTGGATAAACTCCATGAAGGCGGTAATATCGACGTACCACTTAGGCATCAAATTTCCGAACCCTACGGGAGTCGCGGCAATTTGGGAATGCCAGAGACAATCGCGATCTTACCTTTTCGCCGAACATAAGCTAATGCAATTAGCGGTCGCAATCGTGAAACCAAAATGGGCGAAGTTCACACCGCCGCCCGCGGAAAACGACCCAAAATCAGCAACGGTCGAGAAGAAACAAGCTTCCGCACCCATCGCTTCTACCCAACTGGAGGAGACAAACCCGGACCAAGACGCCGATCCAGCGACTAAAGTGATCGAGAAGTCTGCGACAGCCGAGTAAACACACTCGCACAAACAATCAGAACTACGAGATGGCTTGATTTCCAAAAGGAATATGTAGGCAGCTCGCCTAAAGACGAGTTCAGCTATCCCCCTTTCCGAAACGAGGGGGGGGGGAGTGGGTGCATATACGAGTATTCGTACACTCCCAAAATTTTAAAATATTCGCTTTGTAATCGAAATTTTTGAAACTTTTTAATAAAGACAAATTTAGAATATCATAAAATCTCTCTACTATTTAAAAG